AAATCATATAGGGGCGAGTCTGACAATGGTAAAGACATGCATTAAAATTCACCTCTAGTTCGTGATAACGGATTCATCCGAGGAAAAGATTTCAAGATCTCCACGTTGATAGCGCTCGGGGCCTCCTTCCCTGGAGAAAACAGGTGGCCCACGCAATAGCGCACCGAGTACACGCTAAATGGGCGATGTGATGCATTGGAATTGCCTATAATAAAATCACCCGCGTTTCTCACGTGTGACAAGTTCAACCAAGCGTATCATTGCTATATCTAACATTCTTGTCATTATCATTAAGTTAATGCGTCGTCCTCAGAGCATATCGTTCATGGGACTGGTCATAGGAGAGTTGCACCTTTTAATAGCCTGTTTAATGAACGGAAATAAGCACGGACGAGAAGAAATCATTATTATTAAGGTGTTCTAAGCGGCCGTACCGCCGCCCGCACAGCTAGGTAAGTGCATAGCATCAGAAGAAATTAAAGCACGGCAGTGCTTGAAGAACGTTAGAGGCGGAAGCTTAGTGTTAAAGTAGATATTAAGGCACTTCAGTGTTCTTTATCGTTTGTACCGTGTAAACGAACCAAGAACAGTGGAGAGAATAGCAGTTATTAGGATACGATTTACAGCATGAAAATACCGAGTCAGACTAGTCGGGAACGGGGAACTGTTTGAAAGAGGTATTCAGAAAAGTTGTTATCCACTGAAAGGAGTAAATTAACTCGTGTCAGAATCATTTTGCGGTCCACAGCCATAAACACCTGTTTTAACAACTACTACCTCCAGCAAAGAAAGACAAGAACACTGCAGACTTGAAGTTTGTTTGGAATTTACACCGTGGACGAGACATCTCTTCGGTTGTTCGAGACACGACTTGGTAAGTGGGATTTTAATGTTTTTGCACATGTGTTTAAGCTGTGAGTGGATTGTGTTAATGAAAACATTGAAAGCAGTACATTTTTCATTGTGAACTCTAGAATACATCCAACTAGGCATTAAAATGATTGCGCTGTTTTTATCTGGCGTTTAATATGCGCTTGATTATTGTGCCTAATATCCCCGAGTGATCACAGGAGAATCGGGAAATTGAAGTTTATTATATTAAACACTAATAGATTGTTTTTTAGATTAAGTCAATATATTCTTTCGCGCCTTATCAGGGAAGCGGTTACATTTTGTCTAGAAATTAGTGTAATGATAATCGAGGAACGTCTGTTTATTTGTCAATTTTTTTAGAGTGTTTTTGGTGTGTGTGGTTTCTAATCGGGCGACATCGTAGCGACCCGAGCATGTAATAGACTTGCCGCTCATCGTCGATACTAATACGCCCTGGCCAAACTAAAACCATCCCGAAAGAAGGTCTTGAACTCTAGGTTTCGTAACATGGGCCCGGGACCTTGCTGCGCTTGCAGTTAGCTAACTCATACATATGAACCGAGGCTTAATGACCTGTGTACCCATGAGAGTGACTTCTAAGCTATGAGAATAGTCGAGACACTCGTTCACATTGTCACACGATGAGTGTGATGCCGTTGTCAGAGAAGCATCGGCGATTGATGTGAAACATTCTGTTACCCAATACGCTGATCTTTTATTGTTGGCTGCACGCTTCTTGTTCATCTAGTGTGGATACGTGTGAGGTAATGCAAGCGGTTAGCGAGAGGTGTTCATGTTCATGGCATATTTCCTGAAAACACCTTCAAAAACGAACCGAAGATGTTGAGGTGTGTACTGTTGTAAATACGTTGTGAATATTTACGTTTTTCACGTAAGGAACCGGTATTAATTTTTTTCTTTTTCTTTTTCTTTTTGCCGATTTGTTTGAATAGAATTTTTAGGAATGGAAAGGAGGCTTGTAGTACGGCCCACCTAGTACACCAATAAATTCCATTGGAAAGTATTAGCATAGCAGAATGCTAGAGAGAAAATGAAGTGTCCTATCAGCTATCGGTCGCTGATGTTTGCTAAATTTTGGACATGGCAGGTATAAAGCTGCATTCACACCCGGGACCATATTAAACAGGCGAGCGACTTAAAACCTCCATTAGTCGTCATCAGACGGCCGTTAGACACAACGGTTGTGTTCTTAAACATGGTTATTTTTAGCAGGAAAACATTCTGAATAACGATGGTGAGGGAAACCCAGAGAGTAGGTAAGAACAGACGTAACGTTATTCGTTACATGTATGTGTGCCGTAGAACAATAACAGTTGTTAGGTATTAATCAAGAGCGAGCTAAAACTGCTAGGCACGCGCGGTTATGTAGGTTTTGTCCTTTTTTATGAAAACTTGTTAGCCTACTGGCACCTTGATTGTCTTGAATGACTCTATGCGACATTCTCAAGAAAGCAACCTGAATCGGGACAAAACTGGAGTTTCCATCGCGCACGCTTTCATCACTAATATGTAAATATAGAAGACTTCATGTCTTTTGACCGAACGATGTGATATCTCTCTCCGAGGACACGGAGCTTGATAAAGTGGCCTTATATTTCACTTAATAATTGATTAATTTATTGAACTCCTCTTTAGTTTTATCACAATGTTATCGCGGAGAATGTGCTGTCCTCCTAATCCGAATGTTAGTATACTCTCAGGAGTACAGGAGAGACCTTTAGATACAATACAGATTGCGTTGAACCCATGCTACTAGTAAAGATGACATTTGCTCGTCTTTTACGTCTTATTAGATTTAATTCACTTTATTTTCTGAGTTTTCCATGTCAACGTTCTGTGATCACTGTTACTTTTTAGACGTGCGACCAAATTATAATGCCATGTTCAAAGCGCCCTCTCCACTGAAGAAAAATTTAGAAGAAAATTTATATCTGGCTGAGGTTGTTTTTTTTTTCTGTTACGTGGGTTTACTTTCTTTTCTGTTTGTATACTCGCAATGATTTGTGATTTCTTTAATAACTTAATGACCAACACACGAACCCGTGTTATAATAAAGATAAAAAATGGCCAATTGCACCAGTGGCCCGTCATGTTTTATGTAAGTTTTGAGAAATAGAGGGGGAAACCGGCAAAATGGAAAGGTTTCTTTATAGCTGGCTGTTTCTACAAAGCACTGTTTACATTATTGTATGACTTTGTTTCCCATACTGGATATTGTTCTTCACAAAGTTTTAACTTTGAGACGACATGTTCTGATAAAGATAATCAGTTTTTACATGCATTATGCATGGTGTCACTCAGTATCACCAGGTGCTTTATTATATTACTCAACCGGTAAGACAGGACATGCAAAAACCCGCAAGGAGAAATATAGCCACGTAATATTATCACTCAACAGTAATGGTCTGGATTTTTGGTTTCGTTTCTTCCTTGTTCTTCCAACAGAATTCCCGAGGAACCAATAATTTTACGGCGTAGAGCGGGTTGAAGGGTTTAATTGGCAGTTGGCGCAGCTATCACCGATCCTCATAGTGGCGGCTTATCAGTCACAACGCACACACTGGATCCGTGCGTGGTCTTTGTTACTCATTTACTCATTTACTCTCTTTCTCACTTGCTTTACTGCAATTTCAGGTCGAAGCAAAACAAACAAATTTCCTGAAAGCTAAACTGTCAGTTTTTATAAAAGAACTCTTGTCCGTTCCCCTCGAAATATTCTACCCGTCCCCAAACCAATGTATGAACTCCTATCAACGATATAGCACGTCGATGATTCAGCCCTTGGTCGCTCAGCCCTTGCTTAATTAAAGCCAACAAAATTGGACGACTGTATGTGAATTACAAGGCGTGATTTATATCAATAAGGGCATAGTTGAAAATGTTGGCAAGGATTTCATTAAAATGTTGCACATTAAATCCCGGCTACGAATGGCCCATAATAATAGAAATGGTCGTGTTGCATGGCTACTACCACTGGAAGCTGTTTACATACGATATGACAGGCGATTAACAACCGAAAAGGGCCTTGGGTTTAAAAAACTGCGAAGAAAGTACTAATGATATGTTCTTCTTAACATTAATTGCATTAAGGTCAGAAACTGAACGTGCTCAAATTACTTAAAGAACCTGAGGTTTTGTGTTTTCAATAGAGTACCAAGTGTAAATCTCTGTGCATGTTGATGTGAGGTACGTGTTTGAACAATTGTTGAAATAGCATTATGTTTTCTGTAGCTTCCAGTCTTCGTGAAGCCAGTTTGTCTTCGTTAATATGGAAATATTTCGTTCAATCTGCAATGAGAAAGCTAGAAAAAACTAGATCGAGCGCCTCCTTAGAGGTTTAGATGACGTTTACTGGGACCGGTACTGCAGGTAGTTCATTAATGTAGGCGTAATATCTTCATTTAAAAAGCGAAGCACCAATTTGGGCTAGGCACACTACGACTCCTACCAGTCCTTGAAGCGTTTCACATTTCTGGGTTACGTAGGTGCATTTCCCAGAATACCTGAACAGGTATTGGGTAATTAAGCAAACTAACACGCTAATGCTTTAAATAGATACATATCCATCAGAGGTTTATTGTTTTAAGGCAGACAAAGTTACTCTCCCAGTGCATGTTAGCAACGGCTAATTTTAGGGTTGTTTTGATCGAAAACCTGGCACACATGGTCCACCTTCCTGATTACTGAGAAAAAAATGACATTATGTGCACAAGTGCCATAACTAGAACTTGTATTATCGTTTTATCTTTCCGGTAATGTTGTTGGTAAGGTAATAGCAAACAACATACCTACATTTACCCAGAACTCGGTATAAATTGAAGAATTGTTGAACTGATGGACATGCCGTCACACCTGGCGGGAATATAAATAACGAAGAAAGGAGTGTCAGACAAGCATCAAAAATGGACGATTTCTTTTTGAATGGATTATAGGGTACCTTTTTGCGACAAAAANTTAATTAATTCCTCAAAACATCTAAAACAAGACAATTTAGTGATACATAAGATGTAAAAAAATTACGTAAATACCCTAAAATGCACCAAATTGCACCTCGATTGAAAAAATTTTCCGGGGGAGCTTGGTGATAGAGATTACTCTAAATAGTTAAAATATGTTAAACTATGTGTATAAAATCAAAGGTAAATTTGTCTAGATATTGTGTTTTTTTTAGATTTAATAGTCAAAACATAATTTTTCCAGATTGGAATATAATTTAAAATTGCCATTGATAAAATTTTCCGGGGGGCACAGTTATTCCGCTAGGCACTGTTATTAAATATCGGGAAATTTTCCAGGGGGCACAGTTATTCCGCTAGGCACTGTTATTAATTTTGGAAAGTTTTCCGGGGGGCACTGTTATTCCGGTAGGCACTCTTATTCGGCACTTCAGAGTATAGTAACTTATAGTAAATGGCTCGCGCTGCCAGTAATTACGCCGCGGGATATTCAGGTCACAGACCATGATCATAAGACATACCGCGAATAGAAAATAGAATTTAGAAAATAGACATTGCATGTGAACAAAGCCTTAATAACCAAAGTATAATTCTAAAGCACCTGCTGACCAGCAAGCTAACCTTGATTGTGGGTAACTGATTGCAATTTGTCAGAGTTGATTGCTTGTTCACTTGCTTGTCCCATCACAACAGGATCTAATACAATAAACATTCCAACAAGCAGAATCAAATATGTAGTAGTCTAAATGGTGACTTGTGTAAATGACTTTCTGGCCAAAAGTGGGCACCACTAACAAGCATGGGGTATAGAATTGAGACAGGAGAAGTTAAGGTATCTTCTAAACTGTGAGATCATATATATGTCACTCTCAGCTTACTCTTTAGAGCAAAATTTTCATTTTGGACAAATTTCAAAATATTTCATTTCTATCAAATTTTTGAAGGAAAGGTGCCAAAAAAGTATAAAATGATTTGTCCAGTAGGGAAACCAGTGCAAGCGATAGTGGCCAAGGAAGCAAAGCAAGTTTTTCACAGGTTTGAGTAAATCACAAATGATTATCATTTTATCCTTATCTTTGAAATAACAATCCTACTTAGATCTTTATTTTTTCAAAGGTGGATTAGGCCAAAAGATGAAGAAAATTTCCCATGCAATCAGATTGTGATTGATTTTTACACCGATTTAGCAGGAAATACTAACATATCAACGCAAATATATAGCCACGTTATTTTTTTGAAAACCTTTTTGGTAAAACAGGTTATTCATTTTCTTGTTTAAAGGTGGCAAAAGTAAATTATTTCTCAAGAGACATTTAAGGGATAATAACTCTTCGTTTTGGCCAAAAAATGAATTTTCCTGGAGTAAACAACAATTTTCCCATACTTACCAATGGTTATTGAATCCATTTTTACATTCGAAGTTAGTCCCTGTTTTTTTTTTTTTTTCTGTAAAGTTTGGTTTTTTTGTTAAAATCTCTTAAGAGATTATAACAGAGTATAGACATCAATGGAGGTCACGTGGTCTGAAGACAAGCTCATATATCAGAATAATAGCTATAACTGCCCTTTTTGTGGTAAAACAGAATATATTATATTTGTATGAGTTATTCAAAATGTTTTATTTGTGAAATATAGATCTCATGCGAAGAGTTATTATCCCTTTAAGTGAGATATATGATTAAGAGCCAAAACATCATGTCTCCCACATAAAATATTTGGTTCCTTTGAAAACAATTCACTTTTTAGCAGTGCATGTGTCTTTCACATCTTGTGATTTATATATTTTTTAAATGACAATTTGTGAAGACCACTGTAAAAAATCATAAAAACGTGTTAGCAAAGAATCTGCATTAACAAGAAATTTGGAAGAACAATATCATAGTACTGTGCACAAACTAACTGAGATTTTATGAAAGCAAAGTGCATATAAAATTCTGAAATGCTTACAAACATTATATCTTCTTCATCAACCACTTCAATAACATCATCAACCTTTAATAAAGTTTTAAACCTGAAGTATCATTACTCTGCATAATTGCAAGAGAAACATGCAACTATCTTTGAGTTATCCCTCTCCCCCACCCCCCTCAAAAAAGAAAAAAAAAATAAAAGAAATCTTGTGTATTGATGCTTAAAGAATAAATTGTTTCTAAATAGGGATAAACTGATTTATAGGTAAAAAACAAGTATCTTTAGAAACAATTCATTCTTAATATCTATTGTCAAAATATGCATGATCTGATTAGAACCAACAGTTTCTCAAAAGTAATGAAAGTAATTTACCCAGGAAAAATTTTATTGAGATGGGTTAAGGAAGTCCTTTATCACTGGGTTGAGAGAGAGTGTAGGTTTAATGGGAAATATGACTTCAAACACAAGCGGCCCAAACATACGTAACCCAATAATGGATTTTTCATAAAATATATGATCACATAAAACACTAATGGCAGTTTGGTATATAAATATATTCACTGTGGGTGTGTCAAAAAGCAAGTTAAAGATATTTGATACCATATAAGGTATATCTTTTTAGGTCTTATAAATCAGTCTTTTCTTTTTATAAATAAATGTTTTTATGAATAACTTGTTAAACTAAACTAAAATTAAATATTTAGTGAAATATATCTATATACAGCGAACAACATTGTATATAATCATAATCTAAAAAGTATAGTGATGACTTTTAAAAATTCAATTTTAAATACAAACAAGAATTTTTAATAAGAGAACTGAGAAACAAGGCTCAATTATAACGATTTTGTAATACTGTACGCATATTGTAACAAATATTATTGCTGTACCATAAACAAGATAAAACAATATTTCTTCACTTACATTGGCACAAGAAATGTCTGAGGTGGACCTCTGTATTCTATTCAGTGCTGAGGCTAGATTGACAACTTGCTGAGCGTCCTCCTTGGGGCCAAATGCACAGCACAACATGGCCAGGGTCTGCACATCACACAGCGAGCTGTAGTGGTCTATCCTGGAGACAGGAGATAATAATAATAATAATACGTTTAAGTCTAAAATCCATTAAAAAATATTCAGTAGACTTAACCTAAAAAACAAGTCCTTGAAACATAATTACCAAGATATTTAAAAAAGACAACAAAAAGCACAGTTCTTCAATGGTGTAGAAGAAATACAAAATAAAACTAGTTTGTGCGCGCGCATACACACACTGCTCTCTCTCACACATCAAACAGGCGTTTCCTTCGGAATAACAACACTGAAAATCTAAGATGTTAGAAGTTTGCAAGATCAGTTTGAATTTGTTCATCTGTGAATAATCTACAAAAATACAATTCTTTAAGAACATGGACAGAAGTCCTGCCAGCCAGACACTGGTCACTTACAAAGAGTCTATGAGCTGACCCCCAAATGGACTGACTGCCCAGGGGGGCTCAGAATCTGGGTTCTGGTTGGGAACCAAACTGGAACTAGAGACCAGGGAGACCAGCTGCCACATCTGAAATAAATAAATAAATTAATAAATAAATAAATAAATAAATAGTGCTTAAAATGTAACTGAATCACACTTTTTCTAAAATAATTGTTTATAATTACAAATGACATAGAAATATCTTTAAACAACAGTATCTTTCTCCAAAGCAAACAAATACAAGAATAAATATTTCTTGTCTGTTAATAAAAAAATACAATTTCTTTTAAAAAAAACAAAAAGACTGAAATTAATTAGATCTTCCACACTTTTTAGGACTTCCACACTTTTTAGGATCTAAATGTATTTATCAGAAATTATATTTACCTGCACAAGGTCTCTCCTTCCCACCGCAGCAGCTGCAGCAGCATTTTTATTGCACATATTACATATGTCTTCTGTGTCTAACCTAGAACATGACAATACACATCAGGGTTAGAGACTTAAATCGAGAACTGCTTGTTCTTTAACATCAATCATATCTGTTGCCAGTCAGTGAGAGAGTTCTGATCTTGGTCACACCTGTCCTGGAGGAGTTTTGTTGACCTTTGCCAGAAGAACTGACAGATTTACCATATTTATTGCTTCATAAACTAAAAAATGTGGGAAAAGCAAAATAATGAAAGAAATTATTATTTTGTACTGATCCATAAAGCAGTACACAGGTCCCAGTAATTATCACATCATGCCACCAGATTCTGGATGATCAAATCAGCAGATATGATGGATGAAGCAGTCCTCAAGCAAAGGTATTCATTCTATGTATCTGCACAAAACAAACTTGTCTTTCAGTGCTACTACCTGACATCAAATGAGTCACCTGGACCTTTGTAAGAGAAACCACTTACACATAATTCTCAGCCAGCTGTCTGTGGATAGGCAAGAGAGAAGAGATGTTATAGATCATCACAGGCTCTGAGCTTTTATCTTTTTGTTTCTTCTGAGGTGATCCTGGTACCCTGGCCTTCTGGTCACGCTTGCTGTCCCCCTGCTCTGTGAGGCGTGATTTACTGCGGGCACGCTTCTTCTGTAATGACAAATAACAATATTAGAATTCTGGTCACGCTTGCTGTCCCCCTGCTCCGTGAGGCGGGACTTACTGCGGGCACGCTTCTTCTGTAATGACAAATACAAATATTAGATCTCTGGTTTAAAAATGAAGACACAACAGTTATTGTTAATTTCAGCCAGGTCTTTATTTACAAACAGACCAATATCTTAAAACTTATAATATATTCAATTATTTATATTTTTATCCTGAATTGATTGGTTTTATTAATTTATTAATACAATCAACTACCTGTTGATTAATAATTACCTCAAAGTCCTTATTACTCACCCTACAGTCTTTATAAATGACCATGTAGTCTATATCGCTTACCTTAGGCCTGCAGTCTACATCACTCGATCACTCTAAAGTCTATATCACTCACCCTGAAGTCTATATCACTCACTCGCTCACTCAAAAAGTCTATATCACTCACCCTGTGGTCGATATCACCCACCCTGCAGTCTACATCACTTACCCTGTGGTCTTTATTGGTATAATAACTACTGATGGACACACTGTTGTCTGTGGGGGGAGACCTGGCCAGACCAAACATCATGTTAAATGATGGGTTGCTCTGAGGTGTCCTCACTGTCTGTGTGGGCAGGGCGTACGCAGACAGGGCAGACAGGGCTCTGAATGAAGAAATAGATTCATTTCATATCTTTTATAACCCTAAAACGGGGATTTATTTAGTAAAATATTGACATGAAATACATGACAGAAAATTCTACCAGAGTAGTAGAAATTGTAAAGAAGCATATGGAGGTGATGACAGAATGTAAAAATACATTATTATCTGTGCTTAAAAATGATAAAATATGAAGAAAATAAAGACTTCTATGAAAATTTTGTGCTCATACTAAAGGTTTACCTTCACCCACCCACTCACCTGGGGGTTATTTCACTGGTCCTCTGTCGGTGCATGTGAGAGGGGCGGACAAAGCAGACTAGGTGATCTGAGATAGAGACATGATAAAAAAATTCATTTCTAACAATTTTACGACTCCAAAATATCAAATTCACTAGAGTTCACCAAAGTCCACCAAACTAAACCCTATGAACTGAGAATGGAATGGAATGGAATGAATAATTTTTGCAAATGATTTTTCTTCTAAATCTTGAGAATCTTTTATAATCTATATTTAACAGTTTTCATTATCAGAGAAGCAAAAGTGAAATTTTTTAACACTGGCTGATCTTGAATATCATGAATCAAAGCATACTGTAAGTAAATTACTCACCAGTTCCACAGAATCTAGCACCAGAAGTTCTTGGGAAAGGAATATTGGCATCCTGCAGGCTGCCGTAGGAATAGATGGGAAGAAACTTCATTGGTCGTGGAGGCTGCTGCAGATTGTACGGCATGTCAGTGTCTGGGGTGGTGCG